CGGGCCGCGCGGTGCACGCTGGGAGCTGTAGTCGGGAAGGGCGATGCGCGGCTGGGCGGGAAAAAGTGCCCGGCTTGACGGATGGCGGGACAGTGACCGGGGCAATGGCTGCCGGGCCGGGCCGGCGAGCCCCGCGCGGCTCGGGGAGGCCCGTCGGCAGCTCCCGGCCGCGGGTTCTCTCTCATGGAGGAAAAGCCGAGGCCAAAGGTCTCACTTCAGGCATGGCAGTGGGCCAGGCCCCGACCAGCCTCGCCTCCCCGGACACCGGCACTTGCATTGTGTGACACTTGCGTTATGTTTCTTTTTCCAATTAGAGAAATGTACCATATTCTTGAACAACGTTGTAATGCTCTTCTGTTCTCTTGCTAGGAATGAGTACAAGTACTTCCAAAGAATGACTAGCACATCCCATGTAGAAGGTAACAATGTACTCTTTCCCAAGGTGTGCCTCTACTTAGTAAAATTAGTCTGTGTGATACAAGTCCTGGAAAAGACTGGTAAATTTGCTTTTCCCTGACTTAAAAGTCCTGCTTCTGCAAACAACCTGCCCTTCCCCCTCTTCCACTGCCTCACAAGCATTTTAGCCCTTTGTAAATATGTCAGATAGTTTTGGATACATGGTGAAACTGGAGATGAATTGGATGTTTTAGGGCTGCAGGTGATTTGCAAATAAAAAGAATTTCAAAGTCCTGTTTCCCCAGCAGGATAGAAAACTACCTATCTGTCTTCACCTACAATTCCAACCCTGAACAATTTAAAAAATGAAAGGTTTTTATATGCTGATAAATTAGCAGATTATTTTTTCAGGCTGTATTAGCTTATCTAACTTGTTTGCTGTAGCTCAGCCTTGGCCATTTGTTCCACCCCTCTGACCCTTGTGACAGTAATTTTGCTTGATTTTCTGAGTGCTGAGCCATCCCGATATGCCAGACAACCCTCACTGTACTGATAATACACAGCAACAGTACTGCAAATGTATGCAGCATATCTATACACAGTGATATGCACCCGTACTGCTAATAGGCAGCAGTAATGTTCAGGCCCAGTGAGACCTTTGCGGCAAAGTAATAAAGACTATTGATTTGGTGAGATAAGTTATTGTGGGGTGAAAATCAGCACAGAGAGACAGGAATGCAAAAGATGAAAACAGCTAATTTGTTCTGATTGGGTACTTCTCGCTACCAGAAGAGACAAATCTTGCCACACTGTACCCATTCCTCTTTCACACTGACCTTACTGCTGGTTTGGCATTTCCTTACATGGTTTTAATTCTCTAACCCAGTAGACTAGGCTACTGAGTGTCTGCAGGGGACTGCCAGTACGAGTGCATGGAGGCATTGGGAAAGGAGGAATAGGACCTCACTGTGTCTGATGGAATCAGAGCCGTGAGAGACAACAGGTTTATCCTCACATTTCTGCTGCTTCTCTGTTTGCTGACATGGACACTCTTTTTCCTGTGGGTTTTTTTTTTCATGCTCCTGTTAAGACTGCCGTCTAGCAAAACTCACTTGTTTGCTAAAACTTCTGGGCATCCTAACATGTGCCTTTGTTTTAATGAAGTCATCCATTACATACTCTGATTTGGAAGTCTGTTCCATATTCCACAAGGAATGCCTAATCTCATTTTCCAGCAGTCTTAAGTGAAGGATTTTACTTATGTTTTGGAGATCTGATTCAGCCCATAGCAACCTTAGGTACAAAAAAGGCAGAACACAATTGTAAATCTTTTTATATGTCTGCAAGTTGCATCTTACCTGGCAAAAAATACCTGTAATCAAAAAAATGTTTTAAATACCATTTAAAGGAAAAATTTTGCTCCCTCCTGCCTGCACATCTTTTGATAAGCCATGACCTTAAATGCTAGGCAGTTAAGTTGCTTCCTAATTGGCTATGTTGCCATAAATCTTCCCAGCAGGGAATGCACCAATGGCTCAAAAAAGTAATGAGATTTTTCAAAGTGGGAAGAATACAGTGGAGAAGCATCACCTGATCTTGCTTTCAGACTGGTTGCATACCTGCACTGACCACTGCTGTAAATTAGCTATTGCTCTAGACAAATCTTTGTTCTGACCCTGTAGGTATCCAAGTGTGAATCTTTACTAAGAAAATACATATATTTTTCAGAACATGTGCATTTCCTACAGCAGTGGTCCCAGTGGTCTGTGCTAACATATCTAAACTGACACTGCAGGATACCTCTTGGAAAATTGCTGATAAAGCTTATTGGCAGAAAGGTCTTTAAACACTGCTAATAAACAACTGGAGCATCAGTTCTCTGGTGTAATCTAGTAGATCCAGTCTCTCTCAGATCAAGAAACAGGGAGGATAGATGTGAACAAATACTGGTTTCTTTTCTCTAAAATCTCTCCCACTATGCAGCACTTTTAAAAACTTCCTATTACCTTTTGTGAGTCTCAACCTCTGTTTATTTCTCTGACAACTCCATTTTCTCATAAAGAGAAACCCTCTTCTTAGCAGGGTATGTATGAGTTAATCAGGTTGTGAATGTTTGGGTTTGGTCAGAAATTATACTTATGGTGAATCCTAGAATATGGCAGAACACCTGTTGCACTTCTGCTTTGGATTTAATTTGTCTGGTTCTTCTGCTAAAAGTTATCCTTTTACCTGGCTTTTTTTTTTTTTTTTTCCTTAAGTAACACTCAAAGCTGGCAATTATTCTTGATTGTATAACTGGAGTGACAGAACATACAAACAAAAAAAGTCGATTACTGTATATTGCTTGGATTTATACAGAGAACAATTATGGGTTTTGACACTAAGAAGACTTGAGGGTGTGAGCTGGTCTCACACACAGATTAATCTGGCTGCATAGTTATAGCAAAGCCAATGTCTGTGTAATGCATGTACTGTGTAATGGGCAGTAACATGTCTTTTTTGATCTTCTTTCAATTATAAGTTTATAGGTGTCCTTAAGACTACTTTGGTGTCAACTGCCTGACAAGGTGTTGAGGCCACAAGCTTGTTCTTCTATGCATGTGACTAATTTGAGAATTGCGGCCTAAGCTTGTACTTCTATTAACTGCTGAAAAGGAGTTCAGGAGGGAGATGGAAAGTACAGCAGTGTCACTAAACAAGCAAAACAAATTTGCAACAGAGAAAAATACCCTTTAAATGTTTTCTCTCTTACCCAGGTAAACAGAATGCACTGATAATGGGTAAAAAAACCTGGTTCTCCATTCCTGAGAAGAATCGTCCTCTAAAAGGCAGAATTAATATAGTGCTCAGCAGGGAGCTCAAGTATGTATGATGAATAATAGGCCTGTAAAAGAAACAAAAAGTCTGCGCCTAAAAATATGTGTAGCAATACATCGTAAAGTGGTTCTAGATGTAACATTTTTGATATCTGGTTAGGAAGCATCTCTGCTATTGGTTCTGAGTGATATCACTACTTTATCTTTAATTTTTAAATTATTTTTATTTTTTTTAATTTTTAATTAATTCACAAGATGATTGCCATTATTTTGCATAATAAATACCACTCCTAGCTCTACACACAAACCATCTGACAGTTGTCAGCAGTCTTTCTGACTCACGTATTAAACTATATTTCTCTAGTTCCTGGTTTGATTGGTGGCTCTTCATCCCTTTTTTGAAATTTATTTTTATTAGTATTTAGGGAAAAATAACAGTTCTTTTTCAGAGCTCTCCTCTTGAGAAGTCATCCAAATATTCTTAAACAAAAACATCCACTTTTGGTGGTTTACTGCTTTGGAAGGTAGTGGTAGCTTTGGAGCTGAATATGTAGGGGAGTGAGGGATAGGGGTTTTCTGACCAGTTTTATTGAATGAAATATTAATGTTCTAGAATTCAAGTAAAAGTCCATATTTAATTTTTTAGATACATAAAATTATCAGTTATGCTTTTTTAAAAACATGATACAAAATTTCAGATCTGTAATTTATAATGACTCTTAAGTCACAGTTATGATTAAACTGTGATTTGTTAAACAATCCTGGAGTTAGATGAGAATTCTAACATAGTTTAGCAATATTTCAAAATAATTAACTTATGTGAAACAGTTATTTGTGAATTTAGCAAAACACATCGTATGTCTAGTTTGTATTGATTATCATGTTGAATGGTTCTTTATTTATTAATAAAACTTTGCTTTTTCTAGGGAAACCCCACAAGGAGCACATTATCTTTCCAGAAGTCTTGATGATGCTTTAGCTCTTTTGGATTCACCAGAGTTAAAAAGTAAAGTAGACATGGTCTGGGTCGTCGGAGGCACTTCAGTTTACAAGGTACATTTAGAGTACTCCTAAATTACTCATCTTCTGTGATGAGAGGAGGGTGGCTCGAGTTCCTATTACTTCCACATTAAGAAGTCCTTTTTTCTTCACATGACCAGCAAACTCCAGTGATTCCAACAGAACAATTCTTGGAGAGTAAGATTTCAACTCAAAAGTTTATAATACCTGTTAAAGTAACCCAATGTTGCTCTTGCTAATGATCCAGTCATACAGTCATTTGTGCTTTTGAGAGCTTTTCTTAAATATCCAAATTGCTAGGTTTTTCAACCAAAACCCATATTGTTATGTTTATTTTACTGAGTTAATACTGATTCTGCAGAGTATGTGGGGAAAAAAAAGGAAAAATGATCCAGAATTTTTAGTCAGAGTATGACACTTTATACAGGTAAAGGAAGAGGGTTTAAGCAAGCTGACAGGTGATGGTGTCAGCAATAAAGGGAGATAAATCAAACAGCAAAAAGTAGCACTCACTCTGTTTTTTCCCATCCAGCAGCCAAACGTCTTTACTGTTCCCACTCCCTGGGTTTCTCTTGGTGTATAGGGTGTCTCAGTATTCAGGTGCTTTTTTAGGTTCCAAGGAAACAGCATGTGCTACTTTATTTTCAGGACCATCTATGCACAGACAGCCCTGTATAAACTGTCCTGTTTCCCCACAAATGCAATATTCTTCCTGTCTTTAACTAAGGTAATAGCTGTGCAGTGTGAAGGTCTAGAGTAAAACCTATCTTGTCACCCTGTGTTTCCTCAGTCATCTTTCTCTCTTGCCCCAAACCCCTCCTCTCATTTTCCATTTATGCACACATAAAGTTTAGTCAACTATTTGTGCCTCCACCCACATCCCTAGAGTCATCTCTAGAGTCTGTGGTGTGAGGAGCAACTGAGGGAACTGGGGTTGTTTAATCTGGAGAAGAGGAGGCTGAGGGGAGACCTCATCGCCCTCTACAGCTGCCTGAAAGAAGGGTGCAGAGAACTGGGGATGAGTCTCCTTAAGACAGTAACAGTAATAGGACAAGAGGGAATGACCTCAAGTTGCACCAGGGAACATTTAGACTAGATGTCAGAAGCATTTCTTTCCAGAAGGGGTTATTGGGCATTGGAACGGGCTGCCCAGGGAGGTGGTGGAGTCCCCATCCCTCGAGGGGTTTAAGAGTCGGGTCGACATAGCGCTGAGGGATCTGGTGTAGTTGGGACCTGCCAGTGCTAGGTTAATGGTTGGACTGGGTGATCTTCAAGGTCTTTCCAACCTAGACAATTCTGTGATTCTGTTCTTTCAGCCCCTACAGTCAGGGTTCTGGCTTTGAACTCTCAGTTGATTTTGTCTTCTTTTTTAAGTTTTCATATAATTTGTATTTGTCAGACAGTACCACACAAAAGATTATGGTCATCAACCCTAGTTTCATCCATATCAATCAGGAAAATATGGAATAAGAACAGCAGTAAACATTCTTTCTTCTGATAAAAAAAAATATTAATTAAGAACTAGAAAGCAATTATTTTTTTATAGTGAAGGAAACAGTTCTGCTGACCTTTAGTCATTACAGGTATGCTGGGAAATACACTCCACTTCTTGTTTGGCTCTTGGACTTCAGGTGTGTGATGAAAATGTCATCATGCTCCTAGTAGCACATTAGGGCTGATAATATGCTTTTTGTATTTGTTGTCTTTGCAGTTTGTGCCTTTCATGAAGCTCTTCTGTGTCTTAGGGAATTCATCTTTTACAGTAAAAAAAATAAAGTAGTTAGATATTGCTAAGGTTGTAAGAAAAATAAGAGACACATGCAAATAGCCTGTAAAACACTTTTTTCCTCTTTTTTTTTTTTAATGTTTTATAAACACTTTTGTTTGTGTTGAAGTCCACCACATACTTGATGTCCAAATACATTCAGTCTATGATCAGCTATTATCATACAGAAATAACCAGCCCTTCACTCATAACCACTCAAATGCCTGCTTCCAGGCAGTAAGTAGCAAGTTTATTTCTGGAGACGTATTCTCTTCAGATTGCGGTAATTGCCCAACATGAGCAAAAGACTGGATTTGGCTTCTGCCTGTAATTTTGCAGGATGCGTAGTGTGACCAGAAGCATTCAACCCTTTCTGTGCAATGGCAACATACTGATCTAGTGCTGCAGAGTGATTTTTTTTGCTTGTTCTTCCAGGAGCATCTGTGTTGTAAACTTCTAATTTAACTATTTTTCCACCATCTGCTGATATTTGGTAGAAGACAATGCTATTTTTTAGACTTACTTGCCAATACTTAGATTATAAATAGGCAGTTTTGATCAAGAGTACTTTTGCAATATATTTGTGTTGATCAGCGTAACGGAGTATGACTTGAAATTTCAACTGTTTTCCCCCTTTCAGGCATCTACTCAAGACATTTCAAAGGAATATTTCATTAATTAGAGAGAAATCCAACAGTTTTTTACAGATTCCTGAATTCAAACTAGCTTTGTGATCTTAATTAAAAGAATTTGATGGAAACCATACACCTCTACCAAAACTACAGGTAGTATTTCTAGTGCCTGTATTAAAGATTCACAAAGGATTACAGGAATATCTCCATTATACCATGTAGAAATGTGTGGAAAGTAAAATAGCAATTGGTAATTGAATAATTTTATTCAGTAGTTGTAGGTATTTGCTTTTAAAGCATCATTTTGATCTTACTAATTTGTATGGCTCAAAGGTTTAGAACTGATTGTGTATTAGTATAAGCCTGTGATGGAAGAAGTGTCTGTAAGTACTTCAGCTGGTAAGTGTAACAGGTAGTGCTGAGGACATGACATTTCCACTTTTAGCACTTTGGGGAGTTTAACCCAAAGTTTGGATCTTTCAAACCAGGTAGACCTTTATGAAGGCAGACCTTAAGGAGGAGAGCAGGCCACTCTGGAAAGCACCATAATTTTTAATCTATTTCCTGCAGATGATCCCAACCACCATCAACTCTTTTCTCTTTCTGATCTTGTACCTGTTTCCTCCTGCTCATTTACAAGTTAACACTACCATGCCTGCTGAGTAAACCTCTTCTACACCTGAGCATGGCCACGCATGAGTGCAGTAGAGGGCTGTTCTGCACCAGGAGGAGATAGTTATGATCCCAGTAAGAAGAGCACCCAGACTCTGTAGAGTGTCGTTTAAGATGCTGCTTACTAGACCTAACATTTTAAAGAAGGGCAGGCTAGTATAAATAATCTTACAACCCTGTAGATGTTGGGAACTGCAAGTTGTGTGGCACTGAATGAGCCTCTAAACCATGTGCAACATGCTGCGGGGCCCTCTCTGTAGAAAGTGCTACCCTATTTTTGTCATTCAAGCTGTTAGAGGACTTTCTCACAAGAAAACAAGTCTATTCATCATTTCTGCTGTCAAACAGAAAGGATGTTCACATGAGAACTTCCTTCTACTCTTTCGAATAAAGGACACACAGGTGGTATAGGTATAGTTGTCTGTACCAAGTAGGAACTGCCTGCAGGCTCCTCTGTTACAGTTCTCTGGCTGAGCTTATCTTGTGGCCGAAAAATATGCACAGTACAATACAGGCCTGGGTCTATTCAGATTAATTGTTATGTTGATCACTAACTCCTTAATGTAGAGTGATCTTTCTGTCAGGATCGCTACAAAAGGGAACGACAAGCTCACAGATGAACCCATTGCACTTACTTTGGGTGGGCTGCTTTGACAGCCTGTCACAGGATGGTGTGGATGACTTGAAGGATGAGTAGGAAGATGGAGGATAATGGCATTCTTGGAATCTTCACTGTAGCTGCTCTGCAGTCCTTGGCACAGGGGTTGAGTCCAGGCTGGTGACATCCTGGAGAATTAGAAATAAATGCAGAATGTTTTGAATGTGAGGGCGCACAGCTGAGGCCATCTGTCAAGAGCTATTTCAAATAGCTACTGCTATTGCCAGACAACACTTCCAGAGTCCATATCACTATTCAAGAGGGTGGCTTATTGTCCTGTGGAGCCTTTTAACACAGCTGGTAACCTTAACACCTTCTGATCAGTGAATCAGTTTGGGATAGGGGGGGGTCCACTGTGATCAGGGTTGTCACTGAACTCCCTGAAGCAATGAGGAGGGATCACGTGCACGGTCTTCCAGGCCTCTGGTTTCTGTGGTTTCCCACAGCCTTTGTAGGTGCTCTGGCAGCACCCACATCCCAGCTGGCTTCCAGACCCAGAGCAGCAAGCCGGAAGGGTTACCAAGGGTGGCCCATGCACTCAGACAGATTCACACATGTTTCAGGAGGTTTCCAAAGAACCTTCAACTGAAAAGGGATGCTGGCACCTTCTTTCAGCACAGGGTCATTCCAGGTTTGAACGCCCACCTTATCTGAAATACGGCATTCTCTCTGTCTCATGCTGCCCTGCCCAGATACCATGCTGAAACACAAGCCTGGCTTATCCAGAGAGTTGTGCCAAGGTGGAACATCCATCTGCCTGTGTCCAGAAGGGCCCTCGCTGGGACATGGGTGTCCAGCTTGTCTCTCAATCTCAAGTACAGATGGCTGCTGTGGCCTACCCGGCCTCTAAGAACCGAGGCAAGAAACAGTGCCAGACCATGCACCCCAGGATGGTATTTCAGAACAGGATGCTGCCCTCAGCAACAGAAAGGAAAGGAATGGGATGAAGGCAAGGGACTGCTGCTGTTTACAGCCTCTTCATTGTAGGACTGCAGAGGACATAGGAGCGAGCCTGACAGTCACTGAACATTTATAAGGACACAGTGCAGCTGTCTATTGCTTATGGCCATCTTGCCCACTGCCTCTAGGTTCTCAAGGACACAGTTCTCTCCAGAGTGGTGGGACTGTTGGCATAAGCTGCCTCAAGTCCTGTGAAAAACAGAAAGGTGAGCTCTGAATAGGGTGGCCATCCATGTCCTCATATAGGTTTGCATTTATGCTGTGTTCAGCAGACATACTCTGGGAAACTCTCTCTTCTGGGCCTTGACCTCTACAACAGGAAAAGGCAGAGCAGGTAGAGATTGTA